GGCTGTTGCACAGTGGGGTGACTGTACCAGAAGCCCTGCCAGGCCACCCTGGGTAGCAGCGGGCTGTACATTTTTACAAGCCAAGGGGAGGAGCCTCTGGGTGTCTTCCCTAAGAGCTGAAGTGGCTGCCTTTTGGGGTCTGTGAGTTACGCCTGAGAAGGTGGCTTTGTTGAAAAAGGCAATGAGAACATCCAGGGGCGTGGCCCACGCCTGTCGTCGTAGCCGTTGGGGAAGCTGAGGCAGGAGGATCTCAAGTTGGAGGCCGGCCTCAGCCACGTAGTGAGACCCCTGTCTCAAAACATTAAAAAAAAAATCTAAAAAAGATAAAAATTTGAAAAAGCTGGGGCTGTGGGTCAGTGGTCAAATGGCCCTGGATTCGATCCCCAGATCCCAGGGCTGGCCGCAGGGTCCTGAGTCCCTGGAGCTCCACTCCTGACCTGGTGGCCTGCCCCCGGAATGTCCTCTGTGGCCCTGATGGCCTGAGGCCCTGGCAGCGCTGAATGGGCCCAGGATCAGGTGACACGGACCCGACCTGCAAGCGCTGCACTTCGGGAGCCTCGGTGATCACATTGTGTCCCCACTAAGCCGGGCACAATCACGGCTGCCCCAGCCAGGGCTGGTCACCCAGCGGGCACCCGCCTCTCCCCTAGGTCAGGGACAAGAGGGTGCACGGGAGGCACAGAGCGGCTCTCTCCCTCCCCCAGGCTCCGGGGGGGGGGCGTCCAGTGCCTGGGCTGTCCCCAGGGGACACGGTCCTCCTGCCCCTCGAGGCGTTGCCGGAGACCCCAAGGTGACAGCCCTGGGCGCACGCACCTCCCCAGAGATGGCCCCACGACCTTGCCTAGCAAATGCCCCAGCTCAGCCTTTGGCCTGCGCAGTCGCCCATGGAATGTTCCGGAAGCCCTGCCAGGCCACCAGGGTCAGACCTGCGGGGCTGGGGGGAGGTGAAGTCTGGCCCCCAGAGGGACCAAGCCGAGGGGTCAGCTGAGGGCTTGAAGCCACTGGCCCGAAGGACCTCAATACAGAGGTCTGCATGGTGCGGTGCCTCGGGGTCCCGGGTTCGGGATCCAGCTGCATAGGAACGTGGGGGCTGGACCATGTTTCCTCCGGCCACTGCATTCCCCTGACCCACCTGCTGTTTTCATAGGTCACCCCCTGCAGCCTCCGCCTCAGGGCAGTCAGACCCCACGGGAGCTTTGCTGGGTCCCACGTCCCTTGTGAGGCAAAGTTTCCAAGTTCATCCGTGGGGGTGGCGTGTGCCAGCTTCCTTTTTCCTGGCTGAATAGTATTCTACCACACAGATGGACACTACACCTGGTCCACCCATCCCTCAGTGGCTCAGCCGTCCCTCTGTAAACTCTCTTTCACTTCTCAGTCCCAAAATGCCCAGTCACCTGGCCACCCGTGCGGGGGACAGGTATCGCATGGCTTCTCGGTGGCAGGGCGGAGCCGACCCTGAACCCCACGCGTGGTGGACACGGCCACGCCCCAGGTGGCAGGTTTTAGCCGACAAGCGTCTTGGAGCAGGCAGGAGTCGGGAGGCCAGAGCGCTCAAGGTGGACAGGGAGCCAGCTGCAGCAGCAGGGATAGGTAGCCATGGTATAAAGTGTGATTCCCGGAGCTTAGGCAGCCGTCTTGTGACCAACGGGCCAGAAAACCCAGAGGCTAGCTGGGCAACCCTGGCAGAGGAGAAGGTCACCATGAAACCATCTCACAGAGTGACCAGGGGGCCTCTAAAAGAAATTACATCCAGGCCTTTCTTTTGCAAAAGAAAAAGGGAGGCCAAACCCACGTCCATCCCAGCCACGTCCAGTTCAGTGATTTTACTTGCAGCCAAATGCACCTCAGGTCACTTGTTCCCCTCTGTCAGGCAGAGGCAAGGCTCTCCTCTGAGGGGACGGTGGGGACTAAATGGGAGCAGGGACGTTGGCAGCCTGTAGGAAGTGCTCTGCCGCACCGCTGCGGTGGGCATCGGGTCTAAGGGCTGGTTCTGCCTCCAGTGCTGTGTGGCTCTAGGCAGGTTTCTTTCCCTCTCTGGGCCTTGGTTTTCCCCATGCATAGGATGCAGTTAGAAGGAGACAGTAGAGAGAGGTGACAGGGACATCAGAGCACAGGGTTGGGAGGGGAAACAGAAGCATGTTGGCACAAGAGACGGGTTGCCCCCAGCGTCCCTGCAGTTCTGAGCTGCAGAGACGCAGGAACTGGCCTCTCCTCGGGGGCCTCCCTCCTCTGCTTCCTGCCTCCCGTCCCCTCCTGGCCTTCCCACCGCCAGCTGCTGGGCTTCCCCCGGCCACAGCTGTGCTCCTCTGGGAAACTCTGGGAAACTCTGGTCACAGTGGAAATGGCTTTTTTTTTTTTTTCTTTTCTTTTCTCTGTAAACATCTGCCGTCTTTCCCTTTGGTCACATTCCTTAAGTCGCCCGGATGCCCTGACGCTCCCGCCTGGCTCAGGTGGGGACTGCAGGGAAAGCCACACTCCTCTGGGACACGCCTGTGTGGCCCGGACGGCCCAAGGAGGCAGGGAGGCTGGCCTGGCCTCAACCAAACCCGACCAGAGGTCCCTGGTCCAGCCGGTTCTGAAGGGAGTGTCTGCACGTCACAGCTGCTCCGGTGCCACCCGTGGCCCCTGTTGTCCTGGGGTCAAGGCCCAGATCTGCTGCCGGGCCCTGGGGCCTCCAGGGCCCGGCCTCTGCCTCCCTTTGGGGCCTCTCTTGGGCAAACAGCCGGCCACCTACTGAATGCTCTGCTAGGTCCCTTTCTTGGCTCTACGGTCTGCCTGGCCGTCACTGCCCCACACACCTGGCCTTGCACACGCAGGCTCACACACACTCACACGCACCCTCAGGCAGAAAGGGGACCCAGGCCTGGCCTCCGCTCTGCCCACCTGCAAACTCGGGCAAACGGCAGCCCGAAACAGGGCACCCTTCCCAGTCACCTGGACACAGCTGGGTTGACCCAGGAGCAGAGGTGGCCTCTGGTGTGCCCTGAAGTGGAGGGTGGGCAGGAACCGTGGCCTGTGGCCCAGAGTGAGGCAGCCGGGTGACCCCGCTGTGTCAGGGAGGGACACGGACCCACCACACCCACACTTCCCTCCCCATCCCCGGTTCCTTCACCTGCTACCACGGGGCAGTTTCGTCCCTGCCCTGGGTGGGGGCCTTGAGGCGGGGAGGCCGGGGGTGGAGGCTGAGCCTCACTCATGGAGGCTCTGAAGGGAGGCAGCCCCC